ATTGTGGGACAATGATATCATTCTATTACAGGACTGAGACAAGATCTTTTAGACGGAAAGGGCGGAGTTACATCTTTGTGCCAAATTACCATGTCAGGATCTAAAAACAACCCCAGGTCTGTAACTGAAAAGGAACAATGATTTGACATGGTTTCTATGTCACTGTTAAGTTCCAAATAAATTTGGAATTCATACTATTCTATAATTTAAACGCGTAGTCATTGTTTAACAATGAAACACGTGTCTATATATCCATCCACACATCCATGAGACACATGGAGTTGATACATTGTGTCACTAACTTTTAGTTTTGAAAGTGTGACTAAGCTTACTGTATGTACATTTGTGGTCTTCAAAACTTTGTGACCTTTTCTCCTCGTACACTTAGTTTATTTCTATGTGATTTGTTTTTTTTAATTGCTATACAATTGTGTTTTTTATTTTTTATTTTATGTGAGTACTTTTACGCTGTCATTTTGACTGAATTTTTTTCCGCAATTTTTGGTCATCAACATTTTATGGCAGTTAAAGCTCTTTTTCTCAAAGGTGCTGGTCCTGAACTGGTTCTGGTTCAGCTCGTTTTTCCACCAGAGAAGAGATGTTTGTTACCATAGCAACACACTGTTTACTTGCTGCAATAAGCCTTTCAACAATCTGTATCTTTTCTGTATTTCAAGAAACCCGTTTTAGCTCTTATTCCAAAGTGAGTAAAGGTAAAAACCTTGTAAATGACAAACTTTGGGGGAATTGTTCAGAATTCATTTGATTTGAATGGGAGCCGTCAAAATGACTAGTGTTATATAAATAACAAGCCACATGTTGAATATATTGCATGAAATAAAAAAGTGAAAGTCAAACGCTGTCAAAAATCCTTCCATAAATAAAGAGAAAGTAACGTGCTCCACCTTCTTGTTATGATTTTGAAACAACAAAGGCCGGCAACATCTTTTCTTTTTTTTTCTTCCCAGAGTCAAAGTAAAGCAGTCCGCCACAAAACACTTAAAAGAAACATAACAGAGTGGAAATTTCACAGGCCGCCATTTGGACACGGCAAAACACTACTCAGCCCCTGCTCCTGTCATCGTCCACTCAAGCAGCGCAGCGAGGGTTAAACCTGCTTCTCGTCCAACCCAAAGTCAAACCAAACCAAACATGTGCCAGAGAAAGTGGGCACCGGTCTGCTCCCAGTCCCAAAAGAGGACGGTAAAATAAGCAGGCGACACGCTGACGACATCCCGGGCCCCTCTGGGTGTTTGGAAGCACTCACGCAGGGGCCATGGTGTCAACGTTAAGAAGAGAACCCCGATAGCGCGGCGTGGAGCGGCTGGCTCCTCACGCAGGACGCTGTCTGCGGTTTGTCCACGATTCAGGAGAAGGTGCTGGAAAATGAGGTGCTAAGGAGAAAGAGAGGCTTGACTACAGACTACAGCTGTGGCGATGTTACTGTATATACAGTATAAAGAGGCATTTGATTTTGTTAGTCAGACTAGAGTTTTCATTGTTTACTTTATGATGTTTTCAATTTGACTGTTTTTTTTATTTTTACATTGTCCCAGTTTACTTCCTGGTTGTTGCCTAGACATATGGATAGATAGATGGATGGATAGATATGAATAGACAGATACTTAATTTACCCTGAAGGAGAAATCAAGCTGTCACAATATCCATACAAACGTAAATAAAAATATGAAAATCTAAAAAGTTATTAACAATAGTAATAAAGTTAAATAAATGTTTAATTGAGACGGATCTTGTAAATTTCTCTTTTGTGAGATATATGTGAGAGTATAACTTATCTCATCTGTTATATAGTGTGGTTGCATCACGCAAACGCAAGCTATGCTATTAGCAATTACATTATAGCAAAAAAGTGAGAAATGTGTGTAAGATGTGCACTTACAGTTGCTCTTCTGGAGACAAGACAATAGTGTGAAAGTGTGTTAGCGTTATGTGCGGTCAAATAAAGGACTGTCCTCGTGCTGCAGTGTGACTCTGATCCTTCCTTGACTCAGTATTAACATTTTAATCTCACAAATGATTCACGCATTATGATAAAGTGTTTGCTGTAAATTCTGAGCTCCAACATTCTGTCTGTCCCTCGTGTGATGTCATCAGTTCTAAAACTTTTCTAACTGTAAATTTCCACATATTTTATAATTTTTCCATATAAACTCTCACTTTATCGGTGTAAAACTATTATTAATATTTCAAACAGGTGTCATTCGACCAAAATGTATCAAAATAAAAACTGTATAGAGTCTTGTCAAATGCACTTTTAGCTTTGAGCTAGTTTGATTAAAGTTTAATATATAGGTTTTAATTTAATACATTTCATAAATAATTATTTACATAAATATATAGATACATGCATTCATTTTGGAAGTTTTGACACAAAAAATTCCAAATCGTATTTAATTATTTGTGCCAAAATGACCAATGAACATTTAAAATCTTCTACAGTTTTCCAAGATACATAGAAATCACAATTATACATACAAATATACACATAAAAATAGTTCCTCATAAAAATTGTGAATGCAAAAATCATAAAAGTTTGTCCAAAATCTCCAAATTTTATGAAGCTTGGTTATAAAAGCTAATCCTGCACACACTGCTATAACCAGCACAAAGTTGCCGACATTTGCAGTCATTTCTGTCACATTTAGCAACAAAGCACTCACGATGTTGTTTTGATCTTTTGCAAATTGTATCTATTTTTGAGATACCAACCCACCTCTAATCATGCATTTCTGAATAGATGCATACAAGTATTCCTATTTGCTCCTTCCCTCTTCAAACGCTGTCTTGTCGCGGTCTCTTCCAGACACAAGCAGAGCACACGCCGTTCTCTGCAGCTGGTAAGAAAACGCCTCCATTCATTAAAGCGACTCAGGGCCCTTTGCTATTATCAGTGTTAATACAAGGCCATAGGGCACGAGCATAGGCCTACAGTTTAAACAGCTCACATGCTGCCAGCTGCCGTCCGCCTGCTGCAAGAGGCCTGAAGTTTGGTTTCATTAGAACATTTGGTCTAGGTGTCAAAGAGGTTCCCTATGTCTGCGCGGCGGCTATTAGGCTCAATTATAGCTGCCAAAAAGAGGGTGAGCTGAGCGGGATGTGAGTGCCGCATTCAGCCTGGCCTTAAAGAGCCACTGAGACGCACAGAAATTGCTATTCATGACGCTTAATGACTTATGAATTAAGTTTTCCTCTAAATTATTGGTAATAGCGCAAAAAGTAACAAAAAGTAATTACGTATTTGCCTTGAAAACCAGCACAATTAAATTTGAAGATGTATTTTTGGAAAACACTGGAAGCACATATGGAGAGTTCAAATGCATATGCAAAAATATAAATCTCAGTTTTGAAAATGTGTCAGAAAGTGGTATTCCTGTTGGTGCAATTTTTGACATGTTTAGTCATTGGCAGTACATTTGAAAGGATATGAAGAGGCAAGAAGAGGTGACACTTTATTTTTATTGTACTAAAATGTCAGGCTTTTAAAAAAAAAATACTGCTTAGTAAGGACAAACCTGTAAGCTTTTCTCAATTTTGTTCTACGTACGTATCTGTTAGAAAAATAATGGAGAGGCTTACAAGTTGCTCTCTCTACCTCTAGAAAAGCCGGATGTATTTTAGTGCCAGTCATATAAAGTTTCACTCCTTGTTGAGTCAAAAGTTCTGCCTATAACAAAACAACTTTTTGACACATTTTCAAAACCGAGAATTCTTTTTTTGCAAATGAACTCTTCAGATTTACGGCAAAATGTGACAAATAATAAGATTAGACTTTGTTGAATGAAGAATTATTTAGAGTAGTTTGAAGTCTCAAGACTCAAAACGAGATGGTTGATTGTCAATTAAAGACATATTATTCCATTTGCAAATTATATTTTAGATAGATTAAAACTACATGTATCCATATTTGTTAACTTACTTTAAAGTGTTTGAAAAAAATAATGGTGCTTTTAAAACTAATTTAAAGTGAAAACAAGCGTTACGATGTTGAACACGGCCCACAGTTTTTGCTGTCTTAAGCCGTAGAAACAACAGTCGCCGCAGCGCTGCTATTTCAAATGTCAAATTCCAAATTGCTCGTATGACGTATGTTCGCCTATGAGCCCTGCTTCTTATTTTTTGGATCCACTTACAGATTAGAAGTAATAGATTTGCCGGGAAATGTGCAGAAGGAATGTCAACCACATGTTGGAATATAAATAGACCTGGGAGAATTGAAACAAGCACTCGTAAGGTTAATCAAATCTAATTACTTCATGGTTTCTCAGCTTTGGTCAGCCAGCCTTTTGCCTGTCATTTTATTATTGAATATTTCTTGTGAGCGACTGTAATCCAACCATAACTAGGTCCTGCCACAATAAATTAGCTGCAAGCAGATGTAGAGCAGAGCGAGCGGGTGCGCTTCTCACCTCGTGCAGAAGGCTCTCTGAGGCTGCATAACATTTTAGCTCATTACCTCATTAGAATATTGAGTGTCTGCAGATAGTGAATCCCTAAGCTGTTGATCAGGGTGAATAAAACACTTGTGCGTCTGGGGAGTCTCTGTCATGGCACAAACTCAACATGTGAGTGTGAGAACAGGCTCAGAGTAGTGCAGAGACAAACCTCCTGCGCTTGCATAGCAGGAAGAAAAATCACAACTCCACATTTCCTGGACACTTTGCTCCCTCCCCATTAGATAATGTTACCTTTCACATTTACAGTAAATGGCTCCATCTCTTTTTTCCTCTAGAATAAGAGTCCTATCAGTGAAATCAAAAGCGATTACACAGCTCACCAGTCATTTCAGATCTCTGCGGCTGGGGAAGTATGCAATACCAGCCGCAGCCCCAAAGTCTCTGTTTATTCAGTGAAAGTGCTCTGTAATTTATTTAAAATAATCTATTTTAACAAATAAAGAGCTCATTGAGTGAGCGCAATGCTGCAGGCACACTTTTAAAGGCCTCTTTAGGAGTGGTAGGGCTGACAGGCGGCTGAGCTGGATGGACCCCGAGCGCCCTCCTGCACTGAACAAAGTGATTCACCAACATCTCAACCGGCATCACATGGTCGGAGCCAATCCTGGGCCAGTGTTGATTTTAAACGGGACACTGAGCTCCGATCAGCACTGCCAGCCCTCTACCCCTATGCCTCTACCCCTCATCTCATTCAGATACCACTTTGATTCCTGTCCAGAGGGCTTGTTTGAAGAGGGGGTGGGCTCAAGCCCTTGTGGATGTTTGGAGCGCTGAAGTAAATATGAAGGATGGGATTACAAGGAAAGCCTCTCAGCAATTTGGAAGAGATTGAAATAGAGCTGCTCCTCCTGAATGTCAGTGAATGTGCCACTCGCGCTGGGTGGAGTTAGGCTTTCAGGTGCACTGTATCTGATGATGGGTCCTGACTGCACCTCGACATAGGTCACTTAAAAGCGAGACGAGGTCATTCCAACTGTAATAGATTCAGTAACAGAAATGAAGCCAAGTGCTTTGCTTTATTTGGACTTGTGGCCTTATTTGTTTGTACACCACACAGCGTTGCACTTGGCAAGAAGCTGGGCAAAGTTTCCCCTACTTAAAAAGTCAACAGTAAGGGGCTTGTTGACGCAGGCTTGTAAAACAACTTTTTTCCATCCATAAATCATAGTTATTATAGTTTTCTAGAGGTTCAGCCAACAATGGTCTCATCAAAGACACTAAGTACGTGCTCATTAAAAGGTTTGTTCCACCCGCTTTTGGCCTGAACAAAGTTACAAATTATGAATCACACACATTCAAGAGACACGCACAGCTCAGAGCTAACAAAGTGGCTAATTTTTGAGTCAACATTGGAAGGATGAGAAATCTGACAAGTCACCAAACCTCACAGTGAACAGTGCATGAGTGACATGCACTATGTGATGTGGGCTTTTAATCCCTCGAACGGGATCCGACTTAGTGAAACCACTTCTTCCCAACACCAAAACGGATGAGAAGTTTGTGTCAGGAAAAAGTGACTGTGAGTGGAATCCTTTCACCTTTAGCAGCTCAACCCCTGAAACGAACAGCTCACAATGTGGTCTGGGTTAATGAGGAAGACTGGAGGTGATGGATTACTTAACTAATGATTTTGGCCCAGTGAAGGAACTTGTTTTAAATGGCAGTCATTTAGCGAGTCAGCTTAGATTTCATACAATGTTATGAGCGGCCAGAGCTCTTCAACGGCCAGGCTCTGCGCTTATTTGATTTTCTTGGTTTACAAACCGGTCCTAATCTGCTGAGCAAAGAAACAAGAAATTCTATCAGCGCAAATACTTCTGTAACATTTCAAATCCACAACAATATTCCATGCTGGCGATGACTGCTTCATACATACCTGTGCCTAACCCGACTGTAACTTTATGAAGCGATTCGCACTGGAGATGTTTGCTGTACTGTACCACTGGCGGAAGATGATCTCCGTGATAGAGCCCACCCACATTGCAGTGTTGTGAGGAAGCGTGCCCCTTACCTCCCTTTGGGGGCAACAAGGTCCTGTGTCCACATTTCTAACAGGCCTGTCACTCACAGTAGGGGAGAAAGGGTTCCGTCTTGGGGTCAACACTTATGTTCTCCAGCTAAGAAAGCAAGTCCGGCTCTCCCAGGACAGACAGCAGTTCAACACAGCATGCTTTGTGTTGTATCTCTACAGGCGGCATAGGAGGGGCGCAGAGATGAGCCGTGAAGATGTCGACCCTGATGGAGCAAAGAGGACATAGACTGAATTTAAATATTGGTTCTATTTTATGTTGTGTCTGAAATAATCACAATCACAATCACATGTTTTTATTCCAATGTCTTCAACGTCCCATCAGACTTTCCATCAAACGGTTGTGAGTACAGTGTATGGCCTGTAAGAAAAGATAAACTTTATTGATCTCACACTGGAGAAGTGTACAAGTCACATTTGGCATAGATAGGATCACTCAGGATGTGGAAAAACAGGAAACGTGCAAACATAATAATTACAATATTGCATCGGTTTTTTATGTGATGCTTCTCAGGACACTCAAAAACACGCCACTTGTCGTTATTCCATACCCGGTGGTCATAAGCTACAAATGTAGCCACAGCTGCCCTGACAGAAGTGAGGCAACCAGTATATGCCAGTATAGCCCCTCCGACCACCGCTAACCATTCACACACACCACACACACACACACAGACACACTGAACACTGTAAAGCGCTTTGTCCTTGGTCTGTAAAAATGTGCTATATAAATAAGATAAGAGAAGAGATCCTGTATTCGTCCCACAGTGGGGAAATTTCAATGTTGCAGCGCACAGACAGGACAGTAGTAAAAGCACATAGGGAGCACACAAAATATACTAAATAAGTAGTAGATGTGTTTCTTATCTAGCTGTAAATGCTGTAAAAGCTTCAATACCAGTCTTTCGATAAAGAAAAAAAAATATACATATAAATATGTAGTAAAAAAGTACATACATACCAGACTCAATGTGGGTGAAGTGTCTTGCCAAACATGTTAAAGAAGTGAAAAGATAGTTTTGTGCAAGATTATAATATATTAGTGTACATGTATTATTATAGCGAGGAGATTCAACTTAGTCCTCAAAGGGGTGTGTGGCTGCAGGTTTTCATTCCAACCAAGCCGTGCACAGCAGACTCCACCCATCCCTGCTGCTGGGATGCCAGATTAGAATCCTGGGCTTTTTTGCACATGTTCAAATCAGCCCTTCATGTCATTTGGCTCATGGTGCTGTGTGCTTCTTGTGGTGTTGGGTTTCTTGAAAGTGGCTAATGCCTGTGGTGGGTGAGGACCCATGGGAGACAAGAGGGGTCAGTGTTTTGGGTGGAAGCGTGTGGAAAAGGTGTGTGCGATCTTGTGTCATTCAGCGCTCCTTCATCTGGACCGCCTGACATCTGACCTAACGCAGACGACCGGGAGCAGGGATTCTGTAAAAACATGGCAATTCTCCAAGCTACTTTTTTACGAATCGCACCAATGTTAACAATAGCAATAGCAATTCAAAAAAATATAAAATAATAAATAGTGGTTTTGTTCTCACCGTGGAACATGAGTTGGCTGCAATTTTTATATAGCTCTATTGAATAATTGTAATTCCTAGTAGAGACGGCAACGTCCTTCCCATGCTTATTCCAATACTAGTACGAAATATTGTAACAAAGCGGGGACCTCAAACAAAATAAAAATATATATACAAATCTGAATTTTATTGCCATTGTAAATAACAGGAAGTCACAAACTAGCAATTTGCTTTGGCTCATGGTGCAAACAAGTTAAAAAAGTAGCTATTAGATATAGGGGCAAAAAAAGAAAAAGAAAATCTTAATACAATTCTAATAAATGAATACACACAGTTATCAATAGACATTGAAAAGTGCATATTATCAATAAGTGACCAGAGGTATAAGATTATAAGGTTGCAGAAGTGTAAAATGAAGATTGTAAAGGACTTGGATCTAGTGATGACTTATGTATATGTGTTATTATATAGTCTCGTAAGTTCTGTACCGTTACGGCTAAAAATGTGTTTCACCCATGTATCACTGTATTACAAACTGCGCTCGGCAGGACCACCCTACCTTGCATTGATGATATCTCAGGACATTTTGTATTGCTATTTCATAAATTAGTTTTCATTTCAAGGGAGAAAATTTAAAATAATGTTGTAAAACAAAGTTTTTTGAATTATCAATACAAAAAAAACCAAATCTTGTCGTGTATGTCCTTATATTTACAAACTGCTTGTGGATTTTGCAGCAGTTGAAGCTGCTTGGGCTCATAATGAATATAGCACAAGGCCTCACTTCCTGCTCGACCTCGGATCAAAGTGAGCAGCGTTCTCAGGTTTCATGGAGCCGCAGCAGAGGAGGCTGCAAGGCTTGTTTCTCTTCCTGCAGATGAGTGCAGAGACACGGGGAAGAGGTCAGCAGCACACCGGGGGATTCCCTGACAGCCGCCCCGCCAAAGACCACCAAGGTGAGAGCTACATGAAGACCTGCATTCTTCTCCTGCCCCCCGAGCTGCTCCGGCACCCAAAAGGTGTCATCACTATCAAGCGACTGTGTTTCCATGCAGAAAACAGTCCATATACACATACAGTACTTTGGTAGGATTTGAGCCTGGAGTGAAAAGAAACAGGCAAACAACTCTCATCAATGATAGATGATAGAGAAATAAAGCCGTTTCCATTTGCCCAACTCTGCTTAACCCCCGTCCCAATTCTCACCCTTGCCCTAGATTCTGAGCGTGCCCGCGTGCACAGAGTGCAGAAATGCAGATTTTTTTATTATGCCTTATTCTATTCTCTACTTTTGATTTGTTTGCATTGAGAGCCTATAAGAAATTTCCTAGTCTGTGACTTACATTTCCTCTTGTTACTTACATGGCAATAAAAAGGATTGAGATTCTGAGAGGGAAGTGCTCATTGACAAAGTTTTGCCCCAATCCACTCTGGCTCCCACTAGATCAGTGACGTTTGTGTCACACTCACCATTTTAGGATCTTGGTGTTTAAATGTTGATAATGTCTTTGTAAATCCAGATATTAGGGCCAAGTAGGTGCTAAAAAGTACCTGGTACCTGTTTAACAGGGCTGGTGGAAATGCTCCCAATCAGGGTTGAGTAGAAAAATCCAAGTAGGGCTGGTGGAAACAGTGGGAGTAAATCTTAATTACTAGTTGGGAGGCAAATGCTCCATTATCCCAGGGGAGCCTCGTACTGAGCCTCATGAAGAGAACACTGTGGCGAAGCTGCTCCTTCGCCCACCACAAAGCACAAGCCGCTTGACCCTCTTCACCGCATACCTGCTCCGACCATGAGCCGTCTCATAATCACGGCTTCACTCTCACTCACTCTGAAAAGACACCCATCTGAACATATGCCTACATATTTATTGCCCATAAAAACACATTTGGTCAGTTTTTGCTCCTCAAAAGTGGACTGGTTTCCCCTACATAGTGCCTCATTCATCATTGGCTGGTGTGGAAGAGCAACTACTCATATATTTCCTGTAATTGGAGTGCTATAGAGCCAAAGGGCTGAACAGTTATTGAAAGTTAACTGTTTTTAGACTTACTCGCTTTGCAATCCATTGTGTTATGTGTAATGCCAACTTGTCAGTCTTTTATTTCCAGCTTCCTCTCAGGTCAAAGAGCCCCTGTGGCGCCCTAAAAGCTCTCCACAAGCCTATGGCCATAGTGGTGAGTCCCAGTCTGTGTGAAGCATAATTCTGCCTGTCAAAATACAGGCAGCCTCTCAAGCTCTGCCACAGTCCCACGCTGCTGAACTCCAGGAGCCAACAGTTATGAGGTCATTTTCAGTGCCTGCAAGTGAACTTTTAATAATAATAAAGGTTCTCTTATCTTATCTTTCTCAATTAATTTAGCTTGATACGTGGTGTTTTAGGGCCTGATGTATTTAAGCATGGCTTTATCTCTTGTGAAGTGTTGCTGTATGTGGAAAATGTTGGAAATGATCATTTACAGGAAAGCTTGCAACACAGAGTGCTAACACCTCCGACACTTTAGGCTTAGGGGGGAAAAGGAGAGCTATTGATGGTAAGAACTGCACCCTGCTGTTCGTTGGACCTGACACACGGGAAGTATAAATAAAGTTGCTTATTATGCCAAGATCTCGACAGCCCACTCACTAAATGGGGGATTTTAATTCAAATTAGTAGATGGTGAGATATCAGATGTAATGCTAAGCAGAAGTGATGGATGTTAAATTAGTTTTGCTTTGGTTTGATTTAGATGTCATACAGATACGGCACAAACAAGAGTGTGCTTCATTTGAGCCTGCACCTGCGGAGAACCAACAACATTTCATGCATAACATCAAAAGAACTGCAGTCTTTTTATATCTAAATGAAATATTGTGAATTTCCCTCTTGCATCAGGACAAGCAGCAGCCAGAGGACACAGATCAGAGCTGCACAGGAGAGCACTCTTGACCATCACTTACATTAAGGTGTTTTCTTTTGCACTGCCGTCAATCATTTGATTTGACATACACAAATACACTGGGACACTTAGCAAAGAAAACCTCATTTATAGCACCCTTTGGAGCATATATGAAAACAGGAGTTTCATGTCCTGTTTGCTTTAGATAATTATTTTACCAATTAAACGAACACTTCACTTATTCTTCAAGTGAGATGTGGCCTTGTGGCTGTAGTTCGATGGCTTTTAAGGCTCTGTGTCTGCAGTTACAATACGTGTAATTCAGTGAAGAAACAGCTCTTTAACACAGAGCAGTGCTAAGCGCTTTACCTCTTGGTGGTGCGTCAAGAGACTTTCCTTGTTGACTTTTAGCGGGCTGCTTTTTAAGAGTGATAGAACACAGATTTCCTCTTGTATTTATACACTGTGAGTCTTGGATGTTACGTACGACATGAAATATTTGTATGGGAACATCATTATGGTTTGGATAAATTGGCAGTGGCAACAGGGCATAAGGTCTTCCCTATTTGTGCCACAATATGAGTGTATTTTGTGCCGGTGCCAGCGGCCTGTGCACCAGGACTGATTAAACGGCCGATCACAGGCCCGCGCTGACAGAGGGTGTGTCTCGTATGCAGCAGCCTCATTATCTGTGTGACACAGAAGAGCATCAGCCAGGAGCAGGACATCTGTCTCTGAACACATCACATGGTCAGCACACAACTTTGGGATTGTAGGATTTTAGCGTGATGAAAATGAAAATTCAGACTTATTCCACATATGAGTGAATGTATTAAACATGCATTTATCCCTACTGTGATTTTCCAGAGAGAGACAGCATTCCGTTATTGTGGTTCCATATATTTTAGGTACCACAGCTTTAACAAAAGTTTTAATGATACATTGGTGAATAAAAACCAGGGCCGGGACTTTATTGCGTTAATAAAAATGTAATTACACAAAAATACATTTTAATGCATTTCGCACCGCAGAACCTTTGTCCTGGGAAAGAGTTTCGGCGGACCAACTAAAAAGAACCTACTGCTCCGGACAACAACACAAACCCCATTCAACATGAACAAATAGAAACGAATGGAAGCGTTGATTAGAGCATGGTTGTGTTTGCACATCACCGCAGCACATGGAGCATCACCTCAATGCTAAACATAGAGCAGCTAATATGGACATTAGCCCTGAGTATAAAGACCCACACCCAAGCCACACTCACCAGGTGACTGCTTTAAACCTGGCTCACTGGATTGCACTCGACTGTGGACTGTAGTGTGGTCGAAGATAAGGGCTTGCAGAATTTATTATATTCCTAAATATGCTATTGCTACAGTTAATGGCAATAAGTTGCACTGGTCTGTTGGACTTGGTCGAACAATATAAACTATATTTTGTCACTTAAACTTCTCACTGTTCTCAGTTTAAATATTTATATGCAGATAATTAATTACAGAACTTCTAATCAATGTGATTATTTTATTGAGGCCCTAATAAAAACATCTTTAATTACCATTATTTCATTCAGCCCTTATTTATCATAGGGGACTCACGGGACTCTGGGATCAGGCTCTCAGGACACTGGGATCAGGCCCACAAGACTCTGGGATCAGACTCACTGGACTTTGGGATCAGGCCCATTGGATTCTGGGATTAGACTCACAGGATACTGGGATCAGGCCCACTGGACTCTGGGATTAGGCCCACAGGACTCTGGGATCAGACTCACATGACTCTTGGCTCAGGCCCACAGGAAGAGCAGCGAAGTGCAAGAGGAAGAGGGGAATGTGGACGGTCTGATCCTCAGCAGTATATCAGAGGTTTTATGAGGCGGCCCACCCTGAACGATGAAGTGCTCTTGTTGTGAGAGAAAACAGTGGAGCAGCGCACATGTCATAACACCGACACCTAAGAAGGTGGACTGGGACGCCTCCTCAGGCCACAGCTCCTGTGCCCCTTAGGCCTGGGACACCTTCAGTGTCCTGAAGCGTGTGGTTCACACCATTCCGACCTACAGCCCTGTTAAAGCTACAGCCCACAGTTCATGAGTCAGTTTTACACATCAGTGACCTGAAGTCCATTGTAAAGCATGTCAAAACAGAGCTCTCAATTCAGGTTTTTTATAGGAATGGAACCTCCCCTCTCGGCGTAAGTCTGTGCTCTGTGAGTGCCTAAAGCTATTGACTAAAATGAACGGTGAATGGAAATAAAACAAACAAAAGAGAATCGAAACTTTGTTAAAAGTGACACTGTATATAAAGGATTGGGTCATGAGCAGCAGGTCAAACAACTACGAACATACTCATGATAATTGACTAATGCATATATACCAGTCTTGGTGACTATATGGCTTACTCCAGACTTGTTTCCACTCTCAAATTCACTGTATTAACTTAATTTTAGTAACTTCAAAAGCCCTGTTCAAAGCACAAAGATATAACTGCTAATTAGTCTTATGGCATGTATTTTGACAACACAACCTTTCCTGTTTTAATACTTCAGCTAAGTGCCAAATGAGGGACTCAGGAGGGGATATTTTTAGCTGTTAGCGTGTAAAAGTCTGCTTTTTTAACTCCAGCTCTTTTGAACGGTTGGCCCTGTCAACAACACAAGTGTGTGTTGGGGTTTGTGTGGAAACAGTTTGTCACATTGCATTAGTTCATGAGGAGCACTTACCGCACCTTTAACCCGGGCTGCATCAGCTCGCAGCTTTCACACCAACACAATGCTCATAACCAGCTTAATACTGACACCTGAATGGAGACGGCATCTTACAGGTGTTTCATGACTTTGGTGAAATACATGGCATATCAGTGAGGATCACTTTGTGGAAACAGATGACTGGAATTGGATTTGAGCCCAGGGCTTTCAGCTGCTGTCATTTTGGACAAATCAACAGAAGCAAGGTAAAAGCACGGAATTCACCTTTCTCACACCCAGACAAACAGCAGCGTATGGATCAGATGATAAAACCAAGATGTACTGGACATAACTTCACAAAACCAAGTCTGTTAAACCCTTTTGAATACAATTCATCATTATAATCATAATAATATACACTTTTTCATTTGGTATGAAAAATGGTATGGTGTTTTGTAAGTTACTCTAAAATAGTAATAGTAATTTACTCTGGGGAACAAATGTATATAGTTGTATTCCAATAATATATATATATATATATATATTTAAATGTACCTGAGTTACACTACTGTAAGAACACAAATTACATCCCACTGAGAGTTTGAATGATCATCTTTGTTTTCTCAAATAATAACAGACGATGAGGAACAAACCAAACATACAGGCACAGTGATTCTTCATAACAAACGTGTGACTTTAAACAAGTGATATAAATTACCAATGTTCATTTTAGTATCTCTACTGTTCTCTTCTTTATCTTTTATATATAAAAAATGGAAGAGGCTGTTTCTTTCAATGTGTTCTGTGCTTTCCAATATACATTATTATATACATATAGTATATTTTATATTTAAGTCTCGTAAACTAATATCAAAAACAGTGGTAAAAGCAGGCAAGCCTATTTGGAGCTGAGTACTGTACATGTGTTGAGTGTTGGTCTTGGCAGTTTCTCTGATAATTTACGATATCTCTGGTATTAATCTGGCATCAGATTCCTCAAAAGAGATTCACAGTTTGCGGTGGTTCCAGAGAGTTTTCATAGAGATGTCCAGATTATGAAATATATTATGCAGATGAAGAAGTTCAGAACCCATGTGACAACAAACCTCCAACCTCTGTGTGCTCTGCGGCGCCATTATTATGTATAAAAACATGTATTCCTTAGTGTCTGCCCTGCCCCACCCGCCTGCATTGTTAAGATTTTGATTGTAGTGTGTTCATTGCTATTCACCCGTTGTCCTGTTGTCTGTTTACAATGGGACCTCTGAACCGGCCCTATCCATCTACACCTGCGGACTGCCCTGCCCGACCTGCCTGGGAGCGCTTCAGTCCTGCACCGGACCTGTCCATGTTCTGCGGCTGCTGTGTGGCATTGGTCCTTGTTCTGTAGCTTAGGTCCTGGATCATTAGCCCGTGCGTCCGTGTAGGAGCAGATCCCTTTCTCAATATGTGGGTCTCCCCGAGGTTTCTCACTTTTTTTTCCCACTGCGTTTTTGTGAGTTTTTCCTTGCCGATGCAGGAGGGTCTGTTGGGCAGTTAGAGTCCAACTAGAAGAACTGTGGTGATGATCCAGGACACTTTAAATAGGCCACCGTTTTTACATACTGACATATTTTCTTACCTTACCTTAGACTAGTTGATATGTACCTGTCTGGTCTCTGTCATGCAAACGGAGCACAAATGCAGCCTCTTCCACAGACTGTATAGTACCAAATCAGCTCCCGTTAGAAGCTACCAAACTCTTCCACGTGTTCCCTATTTAAATACATTTACGTGACGTGTTACACTACAAAGTATAGTAACACAGAAATGTAACATGTCGATTTTCTCAGCGGATAAAAAGGGGTACTATATTGTGAGGCGTAATAATACGAGGAGCGCTTCGTCCGCGCACAAACTCCCATAGACTTCTCTCCCGCTCATGCTGCTTCTATTGACGGAAGTGAGCGGGAGAGATTTGGTACTATACAGTCTGTGGAAGAGGCTGCATTTGTGCTCGGTTTGCATGACAGAGCGCACGGACAAAGACCAGACAGGTACATATCGACTAGTCTAAAGCCTAGCGTACATCGGACTGGCAACTGATTATATCCGTCGCATATGAGTTGCTGCCCCGCACACATCGACAATCTGGCGAAAACGGGCAACTCTGAGTCGCAGGCCAGTCTCTTGAATAACAGCGCGTACATCGACAGCAACTGGCCTCAACTACAGTGTGTTTTCTGACATAAACTGTTGCGGGCGCGCTATACACGCAATACACACACGTTGTCGGAGCGGCGCATGGAGCGCGCACATCGGAGCAACTGAGGACAACTAGTTGCCGAAAAGTAGAACACGGGCAACTGACTGGAACTGGAGACCGACTGATCATCTCCAGTTGTAAGAGCGCGCACATCGACCGATTTCGGCAACTGATCATCTCCCACCATCTCCTCTCAGTTGCCAAAAGCCGCCTTGCAACTAGTTGTCCCCAGTTTCTCTGTCGATGTACGCTAGGCTTAAGGTAAGGTAAGAAAATATGTCAGTATGTAAAAACGGTGGCCTATTGCTTTAACATTCTACAACATGTATGGACATTAATCAACATTCATGAACATTGATCTCTCCTTATGGACCAATTCATATGTGTATATTTTGTGTCTAAACTGTTGATTCTCTGATCCGTGTCGGTAATTTCAATGGTTTTGTTAAGTCCTCTGAAATGACTTTTGTTATGATTTAGGGCTATACAAGAGTAAGTTGTTGTTGTTGTTGTAGTGTGTATTTTGTAAAACATAATACATCTTTTTCATTTTGGTGCAGTTCTAAAACAAGATTTGACAAACATTTCAAAGATCAAAAACCTTTCCATTGAGGATGAGTTGTTACTCCTTCAATCATCCTTAGTATGAAAAACGAACCTGTCTCACAACGGTCTGACTCAACACTCACTGGTACGAAGCGACGATTTCTGTCGGATTTGTTCCAGAATTTAGTAAAGGATTGACAATGGTAAAAAAGGAAAAACTACTCAATTCAATTAAATGTATTATTGTATAGCCCTAACTCATAACAGCCGACGTCTCGGGGGACTTTAGTTGTTGATTTCTCAACAACAGACCAGAGAATCAAACAGTTCCAACACAGGAAATGCAATCATAACAAACATATAGAAGTCATTGGTCCATAGCGGGATGAGCGATGTCCGTAAATGTCCTGGATCATCATCACTGTCCTCATACCCTCCTACGTCAGCAAGAAACAACTCAAAAACCCAGTGGAAAAAGGTTGCAGAACTTGGGGAGGCCCACATTGAGAGAGGGATTTTTATTTTAAGATGAGCGCCGGTTGTGGGCCTTTGTCAAGCCATCTGAGATAGGGACAAGCGGCATCACATGGGTTTCTCAAAAAGTGTACATTAGGCCCATTTCACATCACAAATCAGTGTCAGGTCATAACAATGGGACGAGAGAATAGGACTTTTTCACAAGACAGGATAAATATTCAGATACGAATAAATGATACATACATGGCAGGGACGTGCGGTGAGGTTTGTGATTGGGGAGGCACTGACTTTAAAAGTCAGATTTACAATCATTATTCAAATAAAATAGCATTTAATCACCAATGCAATGACATCCACAAACTTTATATACTGTAAAGATAAGAGAACCAGCTTCTTTTAATAATCTCACAACAAATCTAGCTGCTGACTCTGCTCCGCATCAAACAACATCTTTAAGAAGCGCAGGTGCGAGAGACGCGAGGAGAGAGAGACGCGAGAGGAGAGAGGAGCAGAGAGAGACAGAGAGGAGAGAGGAGCAGAGAGAGACAGAGAGGAGCAGAGAGACGGAGACGCGAGGAGCAGAGAGAGACGGAGACGCGAGGAGAGAGAGACGCGAGGAGAGAGGAGCAGAGAGAGACAGAGAGGAGCAGAGAGACGGAGACGCGAGGAGCAGAGAGAGACGGAGACGCGAGGAGAGAGAGACGCGAGGAGAGAGAGACGCGAGGAGAGAGAGACGCGAGGAACATAAACAATAATTTAAACAAGTTGCAGAACTCTTGAGCAGTGTTTGAATCAGTGTTTTTCGGAAAAGCACTACTTTGCCGGTATCTGTCAATGTTCAACATAAAACACAGATTAACAAACTCCTCCCCCGCAGCCGGACTAACCTCGTAAGTCCAGTGGTGGTCTCCCAGTCTATATTAATTCTTTCTTTGTTTGAAAGTCCAATTGAGAAAAAAAATCTTCATTCAAATCATCCATTTTCCAGCAAAAGAAATAGCATTTTGGGTTGATTGTTTGTTAGCAACTCTGGTATGAACTTTATGCTCACTATCACCCCTAGCGGTGAGGCACAGATACCGCCTGCCTCACGCCAAGCTTTTTCCTTGTGTGTTCATCTACGATCAAAAGACTTAAACTAAATATAAATTGTACACACATACGTGCAATACACTACTAAACACTAAGAGGAGTTTAAAAAATGTTTTTAAAGCAGGATATTTGAAACAAACGGTGATATATCAACTGCACGAGCTGAGTGCACTCAGACACACACACACACACTGTGAGGGAGCGGTCTGGGGTGAGGCACGCAGGAGCGCTGCCTCACCTCGTCTCTTTGAATAGGAATAACGGGATTTCGGCGATTTTGACTTCAGAAATGATCAAAACTGATGGGAACCGTGCCGAATATACATTAAAAGCATAGGACAGTGGATATAAATTATATATTTAAACTAAAATAATTATTAGTTTTCAATAATGGCAGGTGAGGCTCTGCCTCCCCTGCCTCCCCTGACTGCACGTCCCTGATACATGGACCAAACTTTGGCATATATAAAAAATTAACTAGAACTCAGAAGCCAGGGTTTCCATTTGCAAATATGCTTGAATTTTACATGAATAAAGCTTTTTCTAAGAAGCGTATGCTTAATTAGATATACCGGGGTGAGGTGAGGATGGAGGGTGGGGTCATCATTATGTATGCCATGGTTAATATGTGACGACAGCTTTACTCTTCAACTGTAGAGGCTGTGCAAAACGCACATGGTTGAAAAAGTTTAATACAATAATAATAATATTTCTCATCATTTATTTTGGTGCTAAAACTCTGCTCTAAGATGTTGTGCTGAAAAGTGTGTCTGAGGATATTCCCTATCGCTGTAAAAGCGCACGGGCCGCAGGGAGCCGCACACTGAATGTGTCATTATATCTAATGTTGCCTTGTGTGCTGCGCGCTCCAAAGTAAGCGTACGGCGAAGGCTGCAGCTCAGAACGCCCAAACCCCAGGTGACCACTTGGAGCAGAGCAACTCCCCACTTTCTTATTTTCGCCCCCGAATGAGAGCCTCTGCATGGATTATGTGTGCGCTCACAGAGGGCCTTTTGATTTCACCTGATGTTCACTTGCACATTTAAAAGAGTAGGGTTTCACCCCAGAAAGTCAGCTTGACATGATGAAAACTGGGCTAATATTATGAAATTGATAAAAAGGGAAGTAACAAATATTTTTGCAACATACACCACTACTAACAGATGTCCAAGGCAAATACTTTGGTAATCTGATGAGATTTGCATGTTTGGAGAATATCGGTAACGGTTTCAGCATGTTTGAAATGGAGCACACGACTGAAAAGACGTTGGATTTCCGAGTCTGATCGAGAATGATTCATATCGCATAATATTGTGAGAGCCATTATTGAAGCAAAGTCAAGGTATTTACATGAACTACAGTAGTCCCTCGCTTTTTTTACATAATATATCATAAACAAACATATAACCGGTAGAACATGACAGTTACCTTTATTTAAAGTCAGAAGAAATATTTTGTGGCCTGTTGCCCACAAGCAACAAAAGTTTTCTTCTGACTGCAGTGGTTAGTTCAGAGGACTACTGCGGTCTTTCCTTCAGCCCTCAGTCCTGCTCCTGCCCCTCTGTGCGGTGTCTTCTGCAGCTGTATTTGAGGTTTTGCACAGCTTTTGACAGCTGCAGCAGCTCTCCTACAACCAACAGGTTTGATATTTCTGCGATTGCACGTATAATGTGTGTGCTAAGGGGTTTTACAGCCTCATAACGTACACCTGCTTCATGGACTTCGCTTATTGCTGGATATTTTTATAAAATGTAACAGTGACCCCACAATCAACGACCACTGTATGTATTTTTGACATGGTAGTTTGACCACTGGAAGAAGTTTTATGCTTATTGAGAGTGCACTGACCCTAAAGTTGGTCAGTACACAACTGATTCTTTATTTGTATCAGTTTATTGTTTTGATAGAATTAGAATATGGAATAAATAAGAAAATATAGGAAAAGAATGTATTTCTTTTTAAACGTTTTTGTTTGCGTTTGGTTGCCGTAAAGTGTCAAAGTGGGGAAACCTTTTTTATTCAGAACTGATACTTGTTGTTTGTCCCAACAGAAGAGTAAAATGTTATTGAGTTTTCTCTCTGATCTAATTTTGATGCAGGTTAAGTATAAATGCACGTGTAAACTATATATCACGGATCTTATTATATATTCCATTATTTAGTTTCAGTTGATTATTACTCCATGTCTTTTATGTGCAGTCAAGTGTGGCCTTTTGTATTGGGCCAAAGTGAGTCACATGTGATTTACAGATTTATTATAATTCTATTATCAAAATGTTTTATACCAATAACATGCCACTAACTTGTGCAATTCCAGCGTCTCTGACACAGCTTTTGAGCATAATTGAGCTTGTGCCGTGGTGTCATGGGGGGTGATGCTAATTGAGTCCATTATTGCCTTAAACGGTTCATGCCGGCGCTGGTCCGTGTGCACTGGCTGCTGCTCTGCGTGTGCTGGGACTTATAGCTGCACACATCTGTATAATATTAGCTCGGGAAATAACAGCTGGGCGGACCTCAGCCACAGTCACCCACTTCACCTCTCTGTGTCTCTGAGGATAACCCCGGCCCGCCTCCCTCCAGATGACAAGTGCCCAGTCCGACGTCCAGCAGAGCCCTGCGCACAAACAAACGCTCCTCCACTTTCTCCTCCAGCTCGTCCCGCTGCGCCTGGGAACAGAGTGGGTGGTATCTGCATTTCATCGCCTGCTTTAATTTCCCATAAAGTGTTGGACTTCACTCCACAGTTCTTGTCAGTCATTCATGTGTTTTTCTTTTAGGTCCAAAATGGAATATATTTACACACACATCAACACATTAATATCTGTATATTTTAGTGAGTTCCAGAGTTATCAATAGAGAGAAAAAGAGGTATGGTAAGATACAGAGAAATATCTGATATGAATCCAGACTGTAAACTAGATATTTGGACACATTTTTAAAACATAAAGTATTTTAGAATATGATTTTAGAATTTATAAGTCAAAAATAAAACTCAGTGTATATAGCACTCTGAGGTTTAATGGACATGTAAGGTGCATTATAAATGAAATGTTTTATTATTATTTCTGGATTTCAGTCTTGTCTCCATGATATAAACCTGGTAAAGATCAAATGTTACAATCAGCTAAATATTTATGCTTGGCAAGCATTTCAAAAGTGTCAGAGGAGATGTAAGTTGATCATGGTTAGCCATGCTTCAAAGATAATTTATTGATCATTGTAAGTAAGCAATGCTTTCAAGTGCAGACATGAATTGTGGTAAGTTCATTAACAGCTTCTGTGTCAGTCTGAACATTTTTCTCCAAAGGTTTATGTGTTTCACTGAAACTGTAAATTTTTCAATAAAAGTTGAAAACATATTGTTTATTGTTTATTTGGTTGGGACAGTACATGTTAATGAACACATCACTCCGGATTGTAGCCATGGGCTAATTTCCATCCGTTGTCCTATATATATTGTTCAACTACTTAACGAGCGTTTTTACATAAGTATACACACAATAAAGTACTTCTTTAGTTGTACTCAACTATAGGAATCATTGCAATACTTACATTTGAATCCGGTTACTATTCAGTACTTTTGCTCCCTCTGCAGAGCGGCGTGGACAGGATAAAACAATCACTACTGTTATGATACAGTATAACACATGATCGTTACCAAAGGTGAAGTGACCACAGGCTCAGAGTTTCTGTTGCAACAGCAGCAAGACGTCCCAACATTCTCTGCAGAATGCCAGACCAAAAGAAAATACAGAAAGTGGAGAAAAGGTCCGTACAGCTATAGCTCTCACTATATTCTGTATAGCCTTTACACGGCAGGGACGTTTCTTTACTTTCAGTGTGTTGTTTCTATGGTGATTGGTGTTTTGTGCATTCAGGCAAAATATGAACAACATGAATTTCAGAAATATATATTCACCTTTATGGTAAGGGAAAGTGAATAAATAATAATACAATATAATTATGAAAATGCAATTGATATTTCATAGTACTGAATACAAAATATGCAAATTAGATCATTTGATTATTTAGTGATCCTGATGATTGGATGATATTATTATCGTTTAAGACCAAAACGATACATATCATAAAACATCAATCAGATGAAGCACGGATCCTAAATCCACACAAACCTCTTCATGTTGCATTTTTTTTCTTTTACTTTGATCTCTCAGAGTAAAACTACGGAATCCACTCGAATATGAAATAAAATGCTCTGCCGACATGCACATGTTTTCGAACAAAATCAAAGCAACATCACTAAAATCATATGAAAGTAATAAGTGCAAATGGGGAAAAATTCTACAAAGAAATCCAATTATGTCTGTCCTCACTGGCCTCACCGTCTGACAACAGATATATTGCTCCTCTCTTTTTCTCATCTTGCCTTTTTGTACTTTTTTGTATAATATTATTTTGATTAATATATTTAATGCAAGAAATAGGGATCAAATAAAATAATGTAAAAAAATCAAACCAGTTTTAAGGAGCGCTGCAGTCCAAATGCGTGTGTATGTGGTTGAGAAAAGGGAAGGAAACATTATTCTTCTTTCTGCTTCAATTGTTGTGTCCGGACAACAATTATTTAAAATGTGCTGCTAATATGTTGTTTGTTGTCGTGTCCACAATTTAAATGAATGCATAAATAAATACAAATCAAATGTATAAATCTTGTCACCAATATATGTTGAAGCTCCTGTTGAGTAAACTTAAATAATCAGCCAAATAACTTTATAACTGACACAATGGCACCCAAAGCACAGTTATGGTTGAAAACACAAGGATTTGACTGTTGAGATACTTTCATTTTAACTTTAAACAGCTCAAAAGTATTAAAATAAGAACAACTCACACATTTATATAAGAAAAGTTTTATTGATGCGAAGTCACATGTCAACTCTTTATCTGTGAAAATTTGGACTGTGTTCCTTTTTATTTTGTTTAACTTTAATTTAACCAAGAAAGTCCCATGGGAGTCCTGGACAAGAGGCAGCATAACAATTAATAATTACATATTATAAAAAACAGTACATCATTTCATAAAATTACAGATTATTAAAACCGTTACACGTAAACAAGTCTTGACCTAAAAGCATTCAATGAAATAAGCTCAGTGAATTTCCAGTCTTTCTTTCTTCAATGCCAAGTGCATCCCAACTCACATTATGAATATCTAATGTAATTTTTAATTGCAATAAAACATCTAAAACTTGAAAATAAATACGAAATGATTTCTTCAGAATCTAAAACATTGGTCCGTGAAGAGATCAGACTGGAAGAGACTATAAAGTGCTCTCAGTGACCACATTCAGTCGTCCCCCGTTCAGCCTCTCGGGGCCCACGGCTCTTTCATATCCTCAGACCCACCCTGGGACTCTGGGTGTCGTTATGCAGTCCCATTTTATGACCTTGTGATTAGTGTTTTTTATAGGGAGGTCTGCAGATGTTCTGTGTAAACTTGTCCCACTGAGGGGCTCTTGTCGCTGCTCGGACAGAGAAGGGGACCTCTGTTCGGCGGCGACATTCGCAGAGGCAGTGCGCCCTCTGCAGGAAAATCTGCGAATCGACATGGCATAGAGAGGAAGGAGCTGTGTGAGATGGACAATGCTAACCCTCAATCTTAATCCCGAGGCTGTATGTAGATATATGGACAGTGCTAATCCCCGCGCTCACTGAAGACCAATAGGGAAGTGCTCATGGCCAAAGATTTTCTCCAACTCGCCCTGGCTTCTATTGATTTACAATGAAAAGTACTCTAGCTCAGAAAAATATTGTGATACTTACCATTTCGTGCTTAAAAAATCCATGGTTTGGCGCTCGGAATCAGACATGACTTTTTTGCTAATTTACAGTAATCTTTGAGATCCTGAACAAGTTCGCAGTGTCATCCAGCTGACATAAGCTTTACTAATACATGTTGTTCATCATTGTAAAACTTTGAACTTTTGAAAACCTGTAATTTACTATATTTGTATGGATAGAGTGTGTGTATTATTGTCTCACAAAATTCTATATATGGCACTAATGTAGTTTTAGTCAGATTGAAGCAAACTTCAAATCTGTCAAATGCAGTCAAATCTGAGTTGTCAGCTCATTTACAAGTCTGGTGAACTAAAGTGGCCCTGTATGTAGGGATTGACACATCAGATGCCTTCATTCACAAGGTAACACTCAGCTTGCCATATGAATCCCTCTTACGCCGTTGAAACAAATGCCCATATAAGGATATATGGGCATAAATATGCGGTCTATGAGCTCAATGAAGACCAATATGTACCTTAAACTCTGGATGAGTCTGCAGTACTTTTACTGTCTGCTAGTTCCATATGTACAGTAATGTTTGTTTTTTATTTGCCTATAGGTAGGAACCTATAGGGACAACAGATGGAAATTTGCTTCTCGCCTGCAATCTTCCACTGTATTTACAGATCATGAATACATACTATCCATATCAAATGAATAATTAAATGATTAATATAGGGAAGTGCTCATGGACAAAGTTTTTCTCCAACTCACTCTAGCTCCTATTGACGTACACAGAGTGAACTCCTCTAGCTCGACGAATGGCTCATTTCATTTCATTTCAGAATCAGAATGATTTTTAACTTGGAAATTGCTTCGGCTCTTGGTGCAAACAAGTTGTAAAAGTAAAAATAGTAATTGTTGAGCTAGAGGTGTGCTAAAGGTAAAATGATTTCACATTTATCATTTTGGGCTGAAGAAAATTCATGATTTAGCACTCGGATGCTAGCTAGTGGCGTGAGAGTACAATTGGCGCTGCTCCGGATTGGCGGTTGATAATTCGACCGTTTGCATCAATTTGGCTCCATATTCCTGCTCAAAACTTGTGTTCGAGCTGCTCTAATCGGCCTCTTCTGCACTAATGCAAACACTATTGGTGACATCATCACTGGGTCACAGTCCACTCCTAATATACACCTGTGGGGACAGGCAGGGAAACCATAGTGTTACATTATTAGAGAAATGAATTACAAACATGATGCAGTCGGTGTATATTCAGCCTCTTGTGTGAGAATATTGTTGTGAAATGTCCTCAATATTGTTCCATTCCTCTCAGTGCAATAACACGCAGCAACTCAGCGACTCATTAACTATTTGCCACATGGGAATTTAGTGTAAGTATGTCATATTTATTTACGCAGCATATTTTGCAGACCATGGTCACCCAAAGCAAGTGAATGATCACTTTTGTGTTGAATCTGCAAACGGAGATGCATGAAAAATAAATATTTATAACTGGATAATAAATGGAGAGCTTATGTAGTCTACATACAGTAAATCTGTCATGGTGGTTTTAGTTGTGGAAGTAAATAAAGAATAACTAAATTGTTGCAGTTATGTTCAAAAAATTCCCGCAAAAGCCATGGAGAAGATACTTTTCCAAACTCCTAAACTCACAACTAAATGAAGTGGGATCGCAGATATCCAACCTGTTCGTTGTATGTCTGGGAGCTGCTGCAGCTGTCAAAAGTCATACGGGAAGACAGTCGCAGTCTTCTGAACTAATCACAGCGGTGCGCACGAGCCACAAAAGATTTTTTCTGACCTTGAATAAAGGTATCTGTCATGTTATACTAGCGAATATGTGTCATGGAGTCTGCATGTGGCACACTACAAATCTTCCAAACAGCAAAGCAGTGAAAGGTGAACAGCATTAAAGTGACTGTTTACCATTTCTTTTTCTTCCAAAAAAGAAAACATTTTGTGAGTATTCTTATTTTTTTGTTTGCTAACATGGATTTTCTAATATTTATACTGCATGATTTAAAAATGCATACATAGCACAATTCTGAAATGATGGATGCACAAAAATATCTTCCCACTGATTATTGACTGATCATGACGATCATAGCGTCACATCAATAGTATGTTTTTCTAGTTCGATGAGCAGCGTTGCTTCTGAGTTTTCCTCCCTGCATGCCTTCTCCCCCTGATCTCGCACAGCCCCACTTCTTTCTGCAACCAGAGGAAGATACTGTAAAAATGTAGTATACTATTCAATACTAGTTACAGACATAACAATTGTATTATGTCTGTATTTCAACATAACCGACCTGGAGGTACTTTGAGAATAGAGCACATGTTTTTGGTGTGACGTAAAATACTTCTATTTCAAATGCAGTGAGTTCTGTTTCAGCTGCAAGAGGTCGATCTAAGTAAATTGTTAACCGTGAAAGAACAACACTCAAACCCGAGGATCGCCCTCTATGTGTGTTATTTATGGGTTTCAGTTTCCTGTTTCATGCACATTCTGAGGGCCATTTTCCTACTTAAAATTCATAACATTTTGTTTTAAATTACTACGGCAACAGTCAGATTTTCCCAATCTTTTCTTTCCAAATCTATTCTTCTGTTTTCTGTCCTCTGAACAGTAGAGAACATTAGAAAAGGCTTCTAAGATCATGGCTCAAACAGACTATGTAAAAGGGGATACATAAACTTAAATGTCTTGATTAACTCATAACATAACATAACATGCAGTCATAATTTTACGTCTTTTCTCAAATTTCAACAATTATAAGAACCAATTTGTGGGAGGGAAAGCTCCTTCTCCAGCCTATATTTACCTCAGCGGTGCCTCCACTTGGACAAGTCAGCAGAGGCAGCTTATTTTTTCAGGTGCTTGTACTTTGGACAACGGTGAGCCACAAACTTGAGATTTCCACTCAGCAAACCCACTCACTTCACTTCTGGGAAGGAGCCGTGTGACAGTCAGGAGGTGACAGATGCTGGAATGACGCAGTGCTTAATCATGACATGGCCCATTAGTGCCGTTCAGCCACATGTCAGAATACGCTGTAATACATTTTATAACCAGGGAGGGTCAAAAAGTCAACATGTACTCCCCCTGTTTGATTTCATCAGTTGTGACAAGAACAGTTATAGACATCCTATGACCGACCAATGGCTCATATGTGTTTGTTAGTATTGCATTTCATGTGTTCGAACAGTTTGATTCTCTGATCAAATCAACAACTTTGTAACATCCTCGGAGTCGTCTGCTATATTGACACTGCAAAATTGATAAAATAGGAGGTAATAAATGGTGGTTGTATTTTCATTTGAGTACATTCTGACTGTCTTAAAACGAGATTTACCAATAGGACAAAGCCATTTAGTCTTATTTTAGAAAAAATAAGGTCATAAAAAGTGAATGAAAGTGACCAGTGCCGCGTAGAGTGGAGAGACAGTGGTGGATCCCGTGTGGCTGTGTGTTTGTACAGCTGAACACAGGCTGAAGGAGAAGGCCTCACACTCCATTAGGCTCTTCCACTCCACGCTGCACATAAACAGCTCCAGGCCTGGTGCGGAGGAGCAGGGATCCCGGCGCCACGGTAACTGCCCGCTCTCATCACACACACACTTGGAGATGGCATGTTACTGATATGTGGTTTTTATTTTAAAAAGTAAGTGCATATGTTTCTTTTATACATTCCATTAGACATAGTTGGTGACTCTTTAAGAACTTACAGTACCTCGCAAGTTTCCCCCATACAACGTGCTTTTTAAGATTGATGTGTGTGCAATTTGGCATGCAATTTTTACTGCGTGCTTCTTATTCGGCGTATTTATACTCCAACATCATAAAACCGCTAATTTGAAATGACAGATACCTTTATTTATAGGTCCCATAATATGCTTTTCAACTTTTCAAGGCTTTAGAGATCATTTCAGATCGTTATAAAAAGAGGTTCTAATTTGGTCTTCATACACATGCCCAAAGCAGTTTTCTCTTTCATTTTCAAGAGGCAGCAAAAAGCCTCGGTTCAATTTGTGACATGGCAAGTGGCATCGAGCTGGTGAAGCCCCCCTCCAGAAGGTGATTTACAGGGCGAGAAATCAAAACAGCAAATCAGCACACGCAGCTGTATTTACCACGGTCTGTGTTCGCTTCACATCGAGCTCTGCTGTTTTTCAGATTTTCTCACCAAATAATACTGTTAACATCATGTCAACTTGGAGAAAATGTGTTTTTGGGTGTACATATATAACCACACTGTTTGGCCAGAAGAAGAAGAATGCGGCAAAAATGGCTGGTCTTTTTATTCACTGGGATTTACCTCTGACATCTGTGACAAATCTGTTTTTATGAGAGTAACACTTCACCAAAGACTGTTTTCAGAACTACGGAGCATGAAACTAGACTTACTCAAAAGCTGATCTTGAAACCTGATGTTATTCCCACATTATGACGCTAACAAGAAGCCTAGATCTGTAAGTATAGTGCTATACTTACTCGCTGTGTACTACTGGTCACCAAATAATTAGGGTCCTTTTCTGTATCGAGGATCTAGGGTTCTATTGTAGAAAACAAGTTTATTCTCTGGTGTGTAATAACTATGTACCAGAAAACGCCAAACCTCCAAGCTGTGTGTTTACCTCCGAGTCAGTGTGAAGCTACATCACTGTGTGGCTGGAGGGAGGCGGGCTCACAGGAGATCCACTTGTTTTCAATGAGGTGACGAAGGTGAGAAGAAAAAGAAGATACTTTATTGATCTCAC